AAAAAATAAGGTGGTCACACATATACGGTGCCATAGAGGGGACATAGGTACATAACATTTGAAATAAACTGAAGCGTTTTAAATAAAAAATAAACAAAAAAAGAATCTGCAAAAGATATATACTCGGAACTAAATAAAATGATATTTCTGCTGTTTTTTTTTGTTTTGTTTTTTTGTTCTTTTTTCTTCTTGCTTTCTTTTTGTTATTTTTTTCCGATGTCTTAAACCAATTAGAATGCAAAGTGTTTTCACCGCATTCGATTTTTTGGAGTTATTTTGCACAATAAATAATTATTCTTGAAAAACGGGATATCGGAATGGTCGTTAAAAAAAGTTACATAAAATGACACAAAAAAATAACGAGGAAAAATAGGTCATGCCCAATAATGTCCAAACAATTAGATCCGTTTAAGTATTTATCATATCGAGAAAAACACAGTTGATACAATTAATTTAAAAGTAAGGATATATTACCTGTTTTAGATAGATAATAAAAATTGAGCAAAATGCCGTGGTAGTACAAACTCTACAGACAACGGAGACACGCCCTTAAAGTGCAGCTCTAGAAAGGCCAAGTTCATTGTGAATTGTTTCTTTGGAGAGGAATGACAAAGAGTTGATTTGGTTGTTCTACAAATATTTGCTATGAACTATTTGCACTGTCTCTATAACAGCACAGCACATCCATTTACATTGATAAAAAATGTTAAACAATCAACTACATTAGCAAGCTTGTCTCATTTCATTTGCATACAATGTGATTGAAGAATCAAATTTGCATCCATTATTAGCTGGAGAGAAAGAATACAAGATAGAGTAATCATTATACAAAGTAATATGTCTGTAACGAACTAAATATATTTGGAAAATTCAATTACTAAACTTAAGTTTACGTTGGTATCATCTAATGCATTCGTGGAGTACATTTATATGTTATATTTTATTAAGGTATACGCATTTTACATAAGAGCTCCGCATGACAGAGCATTATACGCCCTAAGTATGCGTGTATGCGCTGCAATTAAGATGTACAATATTAAAATTATTGGACTCATTTGAAAAGAACCAGGCCGAGTTATTGACGAGAAAGGGTTGTACACAAGTGGCACTTTGACCTGTGGCTCACAGACTCCCCAACCTACCAAGTCTCACAAATGGTATCTTATTCCTTTCCAAACTGTTGATTGGACAAAGATGTCTCTCAAAAGATATCTAATAATTTAGTTCATTTTTCAAACCAAATATTCAGATTATAACTGCAATATAACTTTTATCATATATGTTTAGAAAACAATTCTTCATAAGCACTGACTACCTTTATGTTTCAAAATAAATGGATTAAAAAAAACGGATCTATTTTAATATCTCTGTATACAAAACGAATAATAAATATAATTTAACAACTGATTCAAAGACACTTCTTCCCTGCATAAATATTTCTAGAAAATAGAAGAAAAACTCTGAAATGTCACATCTCGCGTGGGGGAGTGACTTCACTGCACATATTTCCGAGAGAAACAGTGTATATAATTTCGAAAAAGGATGAGATTAAGATGTGTTCTGTCAGAGATTTCTCCTTTATAAAATTAGACTGGGTAATCTAAATTTGTTATTACTAACACACTAGCAGACACGGGAGATAATATAATAATGTTGTAATTTCTGAAAATATTTAGAACTAAAACCTCAAGAGAACACGGGACATCAAGTTAGAAAGGGGTTTGATGCTGCATTAGATTACAGTACTTAAAACAATGTCCATAAGAATAACAGGCTAAAGGAAATATTGATGGTCACACGAAATTTCCAGGATATTTGGATGAAAACAGTAGCCACTAGAGTGTTGACCAGATTTTTCTATTTTAATCTCCTGTGATCTAGGTTTTCATCCAAGATGACTCATGTTATAACTTATGCGAGCAATTACCTAGACAAGCATCCTGACAAAGTTTGATGAATATTTAGGCAAAAATGTGACCGCTAGAGTTTTTACGAACAAATGTGGACGGAGGACGGGCGACGGACATTCAACGACCCTAAAATCTCACCCTGAGCTAGCTCAGGTAAGATAAAAAAAAAAGGCCTTTTAAAATGGTCTTTTATTAACACAATTTGTAAAATTAATCAAGAAGAAAATGGTTGGATGATGTGCAAAATCTACGAACATGTTCAGTACAGATGATTCAAATGACTATATTAATTCAAGGTCTGACCTGATATATGCGTGCAATTATTAGAAAAAGGCCTGTACCGGGACTCAAAACGCCTAAAACATAAACTTAAATTTCTTACAAATACAGTCAAACGTGTATTAAGCGACCGGGCAAGGGAAACACCAAAAACGGTCGCTTAATGAAACGGTCTCTTAAGCCAGTCACTGTCAGCATGATATAAAAGTCAAAATTTATAAATGACATCTTTTCTATTCGATGGGATTGTTTTTCAACTTCATTTTTATATAAATGTTGAATAATAAGTACGGTCGGATAATCTAAACGGATGCAAATGTAAAAATAACGTTCCGATATTTATTGACAAAACAGTTTTGATCCAGTACGTACATGTTTGACATTTTTTCCAGAATTTTTTAACTTCTCCGTTGTTTTTCTTGTCTCCAACACGAAAACCCTATTAGTGAAGATGTTTCTGTTGTGCATTTTTTCATTTGAAATAAACAAACTACATCTATTTGTTACTATTAATTTAATGGCTGATCAAGTTCAAGGTCAATTCAATGCAGTCTAAATGTCAACAAGCGAAGCGTATACACCATCTCAGTATGGGCGGAGCGTTGCATTGTTTATCCGATATTATTGGATAATACACGTCACGCGTATACTTAACTTCATTTGCATACGCTAAAACGGTATGGGAAATAGAGTTTTTCACACGTTTATTGTTGTGTTTTGATTGCTGACACTTGTGACATAACGAGGTGGCGTTCTCTTAAAACACAATTACTTGACAGGTAAAAGTGGTCGTTTAATGAAAAGATTGATGTCAATTAGGTGACTAATTAGCGGTCGCTGGTCGCGTTGAGCAAAAGTCGCTTAATACATTAAAGATATAGAGAGAAAATGATCGGGGGGAATTTAAAGTGGTCGTTTAAGACAAAAGTCGCTTAATACACGTGGTCGCATGGGCAAGTTAGACTGTATTAGCTGGGACAATTAAATCAGAAAATAATTAGGCTATTTAAGAAATATTTAAGAAATGTACTCAGAAATAAATTGAAAATTGTACTTTTGTGGTAATATTAGTCCGATTTGAGTTAAAATCGTTGCATTTAGAATAATCATTTTGACCTCATGTGTCGCCTTATGATAGACAATTGCGTGTTATAGCTACTGTGTAGCAGGAGACACAGAAATTATTAACAGGGCAAAAATGATCTGTTACGCGACCAAAAAATCATTCAACTAGAAAACACGTGAACATGCGCAAGTACTTGAGCTATCGATCAATCCTGTAAAGTTTTATTGAAATTGCTTAAGTGGAATAAAAGGAGTAGTCCGGATGATTTAAAGGGCCATAACTCTGACAAAAAATTATTGAACCAGAACATGCCGATGATATGCACAACAAGACTTAGAACTGATCAGTCCTGTAAAGTTTTGATGAAATTGCATCAGTAGTTTCTGAACAGTAGTCCAGGCAAGCTGCTATGTTCTATGTAGCAGGCAACACTCAATAACATCGCGGCCAAAAATTATCAACCGGGAAACCCGTGAAAGATGCGCAATTACTTGAGGTACATACCAATCCTGTAAAGTTTCACTGAAATTGCATTAGTGGCTCACTCCGACTTTCCAGGTTAATTCTTTAACTGTTAAAAATGAAACAAAATTGAAAAGCGTTGCAACGCTTTTCATTCAAATGGGCCTGAGAAAAAACGCAAAAATACGATCTTCAGTTTATCACCAAGTATATTTCTTAATTATCTTTTCATAACTTTCTGTTTTAATTGTCCCAGCTCATTTATGTAAGGCTTTCAAATTTAATATTTGTATACTTTTAGACGTCAGACGAGTCCCTTTAAGTTATTAAGGGCAATAACTCTAAAACCCATGGGCATATTATAGATTTTATGGCGTTAGCCAAGCGTCATTCTCTTTGATCCAAATGACAGAATAGGCACCCCTACAATATCTCTTTTTCATAAAATGCATTTAACAACTCCTTTGTTAAACCCAACAACACTGACAGCCAGTTAACCTATAAATAGGAAGACCAATGCCTGCCAGAAACTACCAATACCCCCTTCCCCGCCCTCAAAAAAGTGAATCCACATAATTTGTATGAGACAAATGACCCCAAGATAAATTGTCCCAGACATTTTCCCTCGCTTTTCCATTACAAAGTCAATGCGCTCCCTTTGATCTAAAGAAATTGCCATAACTCATTGATGCCGGTGTTAAACAAATTTAATCTCGACTGCTAAAGCAGGCGGACAGACAATACTATTCCGTTCGATTAAATTTATGTGAATTTATTTTAGTAAGATTGTCTTGGAAGCTAAAGGCTTATTGAAACACTCTCATATCCGTTCCTGGAAACAACCAGTACAAAGCAATGAATGTAACGTTTCTTGCTCAAGGAAACAAAAGCTTTCCCTTGAAGGGGTCCGAACAACCCATGCAGCCAGCCATTTAATTTTATTTTCCGGGTATAAGAAAATAATGTAAAGAATGGTATGAACACATGAACTTGACAAAAGGCAGGACATAATGAAAGACAGACAGTCAAATTGATGACTATACAATCAAGCTGTTTTAATAAAATTTCTATAAACTACAAACTGGTTGAACTTGAAATCAAAACAGAAACATACACATCTTTTTTCTAAAAACAAATTCACCTTATCTAACATTTAAGAAACATGTTTGTGAGGTAGTCAAAAAATCTAACAAACTAACTTTAAACACAACAGATCTCAGAAAAAAGAATAATCTAAACACCATAGGCGTAGCAATTTCAATTAGTTCCGTATATACCCTCATTGTTGACGTCACTCTATACTGGTATGAATAACTTCTAACATTTAATTCACTTCAGAATTAGAATGTTCTATTCAAGATGGATTAATCATGTACTACATGTATATCATTAATTTAAACTAGAACTCCGCGAGTCGGATGTGTCGCCTTGTGAACAATGTAGTTTAGGAGAAATGGCCCGGACAAAAATGAAGTATGAAAAATAACAAAGGGCAATAACTAAAAAAATAATAAGTGCAGAGCAGCAGTTTCTGTGCACTGCACTTCTTATCAATAAGATCTATCATTCTATGATGTTTCAAGTCCATAGCTTTCATACTTGAGGAGAAATGACCAGGACAAAAATAAAGTAAGAAAATCAACAAAGGGCAATAACTCAAAAAATAAGAAATGCAGAGAATCAGTTCTTATGCACTGCACTTTTTCTTAATGAGATCTATCATCCTATGAAGTTTCAAGTCCATAACTTTTATACTTTCGGAGAAATGGCCTGGACAAAAATTAAGTATGAAAATTAACAAAGGACCATAACTCAAAAAATAAGAAATGCAGAGTACCGGTTCTTGTGCACTGCACTTCTTCTTAATGAGATCTATCATCCTATGAAGTTTCAAGTCCATAGCTGTTATACTTAAAGAGAAATGGCCCGGACAAAATTAAAGTATGAAAATAAACAAAGGGCAATAACTCAAAAAATAAGAAATACAGAGTACCTGTTCTTGTTCACTGCACTTCTTCTTAATGAGACCTATCATCCTATGAAGTTTCAAGTCCATGGCTTTTATACATTAGGAGAAATGGCCTGGACAAAAATAAAGTATGAAAATTAACAAAGGGCAATAACTCAAAAATTAGGAAGTGCAGAGTACCGGTTCTTATGCACTGCACTTCTTCTTAATGAGATCTATCATCCTATGAAGTTTCAAGTCCATAGCTTTTTTAGTTGAAGAGAAATGGCCTGGACAAAAATTAAGTATGAAAATTAACAAAGGACCATAACTCAAAAAATAAGAAATGCAGAGTACCAGTTCTTGTGCACTGCACTTCTTCTTAATGAGATCTATCATCCTATGAAGTTTCAAGTCCATAGCTGTTATACTTAAGGAGAAATGGCCCGGACAAAATTAAAGTATGAAAATAAACAAAGGGCAATAACTCAAAAAATAAGAAATGCAGAGTACCTGTTCTTGTTCACTGCACTTCTTCTTAATGAGACCTATCATCCTATGAAGTTTCAAGTCCATGGCTTTTATACATTAGGAGAAATGGCCTGGACAAAAATAAAGTATGAAAATTAACAAAGGGCAATAACTCAAAAATTAGGAAGTGCAGAGTACCGGTTCTTATGCACTGCACTTTTCTTAATGAGATCTATCATCCTATGAAGTTTCAAGTCCATAGCTTTTTTAGTTGAAGAGAAATGGCCTGGACAAAAATTAAGTATGAAAATTAACAAAGGACCATAACTCAAAAGATAAGAAATGCAGAGTACCTGTTCTTGTGCACTGCACTTCTTCTTAATGAGATCTATCATCCTATGAAGTTTCAAGTCCATAGCTGTTATACTTAAGGAGAAATGGCCCGGACAAAATTAAAGTATGAAAATAAACAAAGGGCAATAACTCAAAAAATAAGAAATGCAGAGTACCTGTTCTTGTTCACTGCACTTCTTCTTAATGAGACCTATCATCCTATGAAGTTTCAAGTCCATGGCTTTTATACATTAGGAGAAATGGCCTGGACAAAAATAAAGTATGAAAATTAACAAAGGGCAATAACTCAAAAATTAGGAAGTGCAGAGTACCGGTTCTTATGCACTGCACTTCTTCTTAATGAGATCTATCATCCTATGAAGTTTCAAGTCCATAGCTTTTTTAGTTGAAGAGAAATGGCCCGGACAAAATTAAAGTGTGAAAATTAACAAAGGGCAATAACTCAAAAAATAAGAACTGCAGAGTACCGGTCCTTGTGCACTGCACTTCGGGTTATTGAAGGAAGCATGCATACCAAGTTTGAAGTCAATCAGACTTATAGTGACTGAGTTATGCTCCGGACAAGCTTTAGGGGACGCCGACGACGACGCCGACAACGACGCCGACACAGACGCCGCCGACAAAAGTAACCCCTATATGTCACCTTTTCAAGGCGACACAAAAATTATGATACATTTTTTGTTATACCACACCAGTCTGTGCAGCTAACCGGCTTTTCTGTATGTAACCAGTAATTACCAATCTCACCTTTGCTGGATAACTAACCAGTAAATACCAATCTCTTTTTCTGGATAACTTAACAGTAATTATCAATCTATCCTTTTCTGGATAACCTCCTTATCTGGATAACTAACCAGTAATTACCACTCTCACCTTTTCTGGATAACTAACCAGTAAATACCAATCTCTTTTTCTGGATAACTTAACAGTAATTATCAATCTCTCCTTTTCTGCATGACTAACCAGTAATTACCAATCTTTCCTTTTCTGGATAACTAACCAGTAGTTACCAATATCTCCTTTTCTGGATAACTTACCAGTAATTACCAATATCTTCTTATCTTGATAACTCACCAGTAAATACCAATCACTTTTTCAAGATAACTAAACAGTAATTACCAATCTCTCCTTTTCTGGATAACTAACCAGTAATTACCAATCTCTCCTTTTCTGGATAACTAACCAGCAATTACCAATCTCTCCTTCCAGTTATTATCAATCACTCCTTTTCTAGATAACTAACCAGTAATTACCAATTTCTCCTTTTGTGGATAACTAAACAGTAATTACTAATCTCTCCTTAAATGACAGACTTCTAACTGCACATGAAAAATGACTATTAGACTCAATGATCAATTGTAGTTACTGTAGTAGTGAAATCATACCTTCTCTGAGGACCGAACCAGCAACCTCTGGTTTACAGAATTAATCTGATTGACCTTGAACCTTGTTTTTAGTCATACAATTTATTCAAACAAGGACTGTACAAGTTTCTGTATTCTCTATAGTCTGTTTAGTCAAGCTGATAAATCTTAACATGAGATTCTTTAAGAAAAAAACACAAGTTTTATATAAATTTAGATATTTTCAAATCACAACAAAACATACACATAAAGTAACTATTGTTCTGGTTAATTAAGAAGCAGTTTTTTGTTATAATTATTAAACATATAACATGATTACAGGTTATTTAACAGTGAACTGTTCAATACTGATTACAGGAATATATTTTGAGGAGCATGAATACAAAGTTTGAGATGGTGCAAGTGGTTGAAGATCAGTAAAGTTATATATGCTTTAACACATAACTTGCTGAATTTGTGTTATTAATTTGCCCCAATTTTAATCTAAAACATTCTATTCCGAGGGTAAGGATTTTTATATTGAAATTTAATACAAGAGGGAAAGAATAACCACTTTCGATTTCCAGCAGTCAGGGATTAAAATCTACAGAGTATGGCGTCTCGGGGCAGTCACCTCATTTCTGGGGCATTCCTGGTCATCTGGGACGTTATGGTAAGTATATTTGTTTTGTTTGTCTAAGTGGGTTTTACGTCACACTGACACATTTTAGGTCACATGGGATGTTTCAGCTTTACTGGTAGGGGAAGACCTCGTCCATTATTTTAGGCACAAACAGGCACCTGAGTAGAACCACCAGCTAGCTGGATAGCTTCCTCACATGAAAGAATCCAAAGTCCCTATCCGGATTGGAACCAACAGCGGTGAGGGCCATGTATGTCTACACAATCTTGTTATCATTAAAATAAAAATGTCCTTGTTTTAAAATAATAATATTTGATCTCTATTAAGTATAGCCAGCAATGTGACCTTAAAGAAACTCCACTGAGGTCCAAAGGCCTAAATCATAAAATTTCAAATTCTTGGACACTTAAATCAGAAATTGATTAAAAAATAATTATGAAATATAGTCGGAAATATATTGAAAATAGTACTTTAATGTTATTATTAGTCTCTTTTGTGTAAAAACCTTGCAACACTTTTCAATTTTTGGTCATTTTTAACAATTAGAATAATTATTCTGGAAAAAGTGAATGATCTGAACTTTTGCAAACAAGTTATTGGTCTAGATCTTCATGAAATGGTACATATAAATCTCGAAAATTTATTTCAAGCATTTTAAGCATTGCCATGTCAAAAATGCTATGCTTTTGAAAGTAATATGTGATTCATAGGACACATTTATTACAACATATTAATTAATATCATATGTATCGGGTGTCACAAATTTCTCTCTAAATACATCTGATGGTCCAAAAAATACATTATTTACATACAAATTGTCTTTCATTTCATTTTAGAAATTGTAGACAATAACAAATTAAGTTGTTATACTAACAACAAGAGGGCCATGATGGCCCTGAGGTCGCTCACCTGTATATAGCCCCCCCCCCCCCCCCCCAATTTTTACCCAAGGGCTTTTATTTGTTTATTTGAACAGACTTGGTGGACACCCATAAGAAGATGTTTCATGCAAAACATTCAAGTTCTAGCTCATTAGGTTTTTTAAAAGAAGATTTTTTTAGTTTTTACTATACACATATAGTTAGAAACAATGACACCCCTCGGGCAGGGCCAGTTTTGACCCCTGGGCTTTTATTTGAACAAACTTTGTAGATATTTACTTAAAGATGTTTCATGCTTAATATCTAAACTCTAGCTATTTGGGTTTTTTCAAAGAAGATTTTTAAGTTTTTGCTATACACATATAAGGAAAATCAATGACCCCCGGGGCAGGGCCAGTTTTGACCCCAGGGCTTTTATTTGAACATACTTGGTAGACACCCATTAGAACATGTCTCATGCTAAATATCTTAGCTCTAGCTCTTTGGGTTCTTTAAAAGAAGATTTTTTAAGTTTTTACTATATGCATATAGGGAAAATCAATGACCCCCTGGGGCGGGGCCAATTTTGACCCCAGGGCTTTTATTTGAACAAACTTGGTAGACATTCACTAGAAGATGTTTCATGCCAAATATCTAAGCTCTAGCTCTTACAGTTCTTTAAAAGAAGATTTTTTAAGTTTTAATATATGCATATAGGGCAAATCAATGACCCCCCGGGGCCGGGCCAATTTAGACCCCAAGGCTTTTATTTGAACAAACTTGGTAGACATTCACTAGAAGATGTTTCATACCAAATATCTAAGCTCTAGCTCTTACAGTTCTTTAAAAGAAGATTTTTTAAGTTTTAATATATGCATATAGGGAAAATAAATGACCCCCTGGGGCGGGGCCAATTTGGACCCCAGGGCTTTTATTTGAACAAACTTGATAGACATTCACTAGAAGATGTTTCATGCCAAATATCTAAGCTCTAGCTCTTACAGTTCTTTAAAAGAAGATTTTTTAAGTTTTTACTATATGCATATAGGAAAAATCAATGACCCCCCGGGACGGGGCCAATTTTGACCCCAGGGCTTTTATTTGAACAAACTTGGTAGACATTCACTAGAAGATGTTTTATGCCAAATATCTAAGCTCTAGCTGTGACGGTTCTTTAAAAGATTTTTTAAGTTTTTACTATTTGCATAGGGAAAATCAATGACCCCCCAGGGCGGGGCCAATTTTGACCCCAGGGCTTTTATTTGAAAAAACTTGGTAGACACTCATTAGAAGATGTTTCATGCCAAATATCTCAGATCTAGCTCTTACAGTTCTTTAAAAGAAGATTTTTTAAGTTTTTACTATATGCATATAGGGAAAATCAATGACCCCCCGGGGCGGGGCCAATTTTGACCCTAGGGCTTTTATTTGAACAAACTTGGTAAACACTCATTAGAAGATGTTTCATGCCAAATATCTAAGCTCTAGCTCTTAGGGTTGTTTAAAAGAAGATATTTAAAGATTTTTCTTTCGGTTGCCATGGCAACCAGAGTTCTGCATGGAATTAAATTCTTTGAACAATTTTTAAAGGTGACCACCAAAGGAACATTCCTGTGAAGTTTGGATGAAATTGGCTCAGTGGTTTATGAGGAGATGTCATTTAAAGCAAAAGTTTACGGACGGACAATGGACGGACGACAGACGGACGGACGCCGGACAAAAAGCAATCACAAAAGCTCACCCTGTCACTTTGTGACAAGTGAGCTAACAAAAAATGCATGTCAATTTTGTTTGAAAAAAAAAAAGATATTATTTATCAATGCAACAATGTTGAAACTAGCTGATTTTGTATAGAGTGTCTTACATTCTTACATAAAATTAATAACCCATTTGACCAGCACAAGAATAAGCTACTTTAACCCTTTATACTGGTTAAGATTCATACAACAACTAATGACCAAGATCAGCCTGAACATCTATGGTATCTAAAAAAAGGTCTGCACTTGTTGCTATTCAGACTGTTAGTATGTTGAAATTTCCCCTAAAAACTAAGACAAGTTTTAGCAAGATTGACCAGCACCGTCTGGGAATCGAACCTGGGTCATCTGATTCACACTCCAATGCTCTACCTATTTATTGAGCTAAATGGGTAGTTTAAAGTTCTAACAACTTTATACAAAACCATATATATGTTAGGATTGTAGTTTGTTGGGCAAGTAACAATTCATTTTGGTTTACTGATTCATAAATAATGTACAGCACAAACCAGATTACAAAGAGATTAAAACCAGGATGATATTCTTTCAATATTCTTTCAATGTAATACTGAAAATGCTTGCTGTAAAATAAATAAACTTGTGAAAAAATATTCAGTGCTTTTTTGTTTCCTTTCAAAACCTAAGCTGACACCTCTTCCAGCGATAATTAAAAATATCTGAGAATGTGTACCTTATAATTCTAATTCACATAAAGGACATTGGAATAAATGCTGCTACCTGCAGTCTTAGTAAATATCAAAGCAAGAGATATGTATAATGTACAACATTCTTAAACATCAGACAAAACTTTACACAACAAATGTTTTTCAGAAACTTTATACAAAATATTAATCAAAAAGTTTACACAAAAAATATTTTTCACAAACATTACACAAAAAATATTTGTCAGAAACTTTACACAAAAAAAAATATTTTCACAAACTTTACATAAAAAATACTTTCAGAAACTTAATACACACGAAACATGTATCAGAAACTTTCCACAGTCATAAAATATACAATATATTTAATTTGTGATATGAAAAAAAGAGCAAATCTTGAATACATATAGCTTATGTGTATAGAAACACTGTCAAAAATATATGTGAACACAGTAAAGAAGTGATTTAACACTGTATGGCAGCAACTTTTCCGGTTTCTTTACTGCCTACCTCACCAACACAGATCCATCTGGCTGTCCAAAGTATGCTTTCTTGGCCATGTTTACAAACAAGCCTGTCTCTACCACACCTAACATAAAGACAAATTAAAAAAGTTTGCTTTATTATTTCATACTATAAGGATCTTACAAAGGCTGGAAGAACAGACTGAAATATCTAGCTCTCAGGCCACTGTTTCCGGTGACTGCTCTGGGGGTAACAAGGCTGTGCCAAGTTTCCACTGAACAGTTAAAACCAGAGAGCTAGATATTCCTGTCATTGATAACTGCCAGTGTGTTTGATTCTTCTTCTGGAATATTACATACATACATGTATTAACTATATTTCAGAAAAATTTACAAAAACTAGTATTTTCATTAAGTACTTTTTTCTAACTATAGCATATGTATTTAAAACTTCATTCATAATGGCAAAATGTCACCCTAACAAAGCAATTCATTCATAAAAAGCGTGTAGGAATGACATAATTGAAAATTGACAACTTGTCCTGCAAGGAGGTATAAGACAGGTTTTTCTAGCACCGATACAAACAGTAGATAAATAATATCTGTCATATTTTGAGGTCGACTGAGGGACGGATATTCCAATCCCAACCGCAAACATATGTCAGATATTTTTTCTTGCTTATTCTTCCTTATTCCAGTATATTTTAAGTACTTTATCCTGAATGTCAATGGAAATTTATAACATTACAACCGAAACTACTTTCGTACAACAGCGTATGAATTGCAACTTCATTCATAACATCCTATGATCCTAAGCATGCCGTTGTACAGCATGTGACTCATCTGGCACCCCCATGCCAGATGAAATTTCCGGTATGGGTAAATCTCACGGAAACGCCAGTCTGATATGCAAGAATATCCTGTCTTGATATGCAAGAAAATTAGGAGGTCAACCATTCAACTACAGGATCACCCCATGTGACCAGTACAGACCAAGATCAGCTGGGAAATCCATGCCTTGTTCAATATTCAGTCAGAATATATTTTAAAATTTTCGTTAAAAATGATGAGTAAATGTTTTTGTCTAGATTTTGTCCCTTTTTTTTTTTTTTGTTCCAACGAGATGACCTTAATTAGATTTTTTTTGACAATATATTTGCATGATCTTTCACTTAAAAATTAAGCTCAAAACACCCAAGGTTAGCCAAAATCATCTTTCCTGTTTCTGTGCTATTTGACTGAAACTGTGTTGGTGTGCCATCAAACAAACATAAGTAAAACACCTTACATTGAAGCTTTTGATCTAAGTGTGCAGACAATCATACTAAAAGATGTCCCATTCTCCTTGAAATTAAGCTTGATGGATGAATAACTATCATATTGTCTCCCTGCATAAGTGATAACATGCAGAAGAAAATAAGATTTATTTTTGGTAAAAAATGCCTCACTTAAATGTATCATAAACATACTTGAAAAACTTTATTAAAATTGATGGAATTTCAAAATTTTATTAGTGAATTGAGACAAATTTAAATAGGAGACAGAAATCCCTGCAGTCTGAAAGAAAAAAAAATGTTATTCCTCTCATTTTATAGAAATTACACGGAATTTGTGCAGACTTGTCTTTTAAAATAATAAGGGGAAGATTTTATCTTAAGGTAATACATCTTTCTTCGACACAAACGTCTCAAACATGTGCACATTAATGGCCAAGTTTTCCTTAACAAAGTTAATTTACATTTTACGTATCTGTGACACTTTCCTCCTCGCAGTAATTAACGTGCCTGCACACATTTCTATACCATAATCAATCAAACAAGTTTTATTTCCTCTTTTATTACTCATGTTTTATACTAATGCTTTTCATAAGAAATCACAGTGCACAATAAGCTTCGTATATTCACAGAGAAAATAGAATTTATCTATTATAGCAGAACAAATATTGAATGCATAAGACTTGTTCATTACCATAAATGAATAGAAATCAAGAGATGTTTGTAAAACATGTTACATGCATGAACATGCCCCTCTAATGGAAAACATTTAGTCATGAGACAATACTTATCTTTGCTTAAGGTCACTATGATATGGGAGTCTATGACATCTAGACCCCTTGACACCTCGACCCCTTGACACCTCGACCCCTTAGACATCTCGACCCCTGACACTTAGACCCCTAAGACACTTAGACCCCTTAAATATACCTGACATTTCGACCCCTTAATTAATGTATTGTTATATTAGAAAAGATCGTGCTTTTCTAAAAATAAAAAACAAAGTAATGACTAGGTAAGAACATTTTCAGCCGTTTATTTATCATTTATGTATATTATTTACAAAAACAGTAACACAAATAAATATGCATGTACACACGTTACATTGAAATAACAATACATAGAATACGCAGACACTATCACTCTCTTTATATACATGTATGTAATAACTACAATATTTACAATATATACACTTTTTGAAACTGTATTTTTGTATTTCTTATTGATAATCTTTTTTCCAATTATACATTTCCTTGTCTGCTGGATCAACGGAATTGTCATGATCAGGTGTTGCTTGATCTGAAGGAGAGTCACTGCAAATACTACAACTGAACTGTACAACGCTTACGTGCCATGTAATACCGGTAATCGATTCTACTGATACCTGCAAAACACAAATTTTTCATCTTATAACAGAACAGAACATATAACAGAACATATATTTTAATTTGAATTAAGCATATACAGCTCATCTTCATATACAACAAATATATACATGCATGAATATGAAAAATGGTAAACGCATATCAATAAATGAAATAAACTAGTGAGAGTGTATAACAACACATGTAATATTTACAATCCTTATATAACTTTAAACAATACAACAAGGTGGTCTTATATAGCATTATCCGGCATTCAATGAATCAAATCTCAATTTAAAAGCTTTATTACAATATATAGCTAATTTTGTTAACACCGATTTCCTTTCTGAATTCAGCAATTCTAAAAATTTGAACATGCTAGGGTTTCTTGTAAAATAGTTGGATATATACTGTTTCCTAAGAGAATCATACAAAGTACAAATCAATACAAAGTGATATTCATCTTCGATGTCATTATTGTTGCAAATGGTACATTTCCGGTCATTTCTATCAATATTATTGTGTCTACCTGTTTCTATTAATAAATTGTGAGATGATAATCTAAGTTTAGCTAATATATTTCTTAATTTCATAGAGTCAACAATATCCAGGTATTTAGACCTGCTAAAATCGGTTTTGACATGTTTATACAAATACAAAGAAGAACAAATATGTACACTAGAATGCCAATTTGTGATATAAATATCTTTTAAACGACCATGTAGGACTGGTATTAATATATTTAGCTTAACTGATTCTGGATACATCCACACATCATTAAATCCAGCACTTTGCAAAAGTGTTTTTACTTTAGACAACCAATTTACAGTATTAGACTTTGACTCTATCTCCAATCTCTGACAATTAACAATATAATTTAATATACAATTGCTTGTTTTATTTTGGTATAATTTTAAAAAATATTTAACAATCCTTACATGACGTGAAATATACAATGGAAATCGGCCTACTTCTGCAATTAGTGAAAGAGTATTTGTTGACATTTTCACATTAAGCAACCATTTACAGAACTTCTTATGTTTTCTGGGCATTTGAAACTTTGAATACAGTAACAATACTTCCATGCATACACTATTTTAACAATAATCCGTCTGATTTAGAGATTTAATCCATTTTTTCTCAATTTTTACCAAGAGCTTTTCAAAATTTGCTACCATTTTTCACGCATGCGCATTATCTTTATAACACAATTAACAAAATAAAGTTATGTTTATTGATAATACATGTTTATACCGTTCTAATGAGCGATAATCGGATTAGTATCGGTAAGCGCCGGTGTTAATCCAATTACGTGTCACTGAACAAACACATACATGTATGACCGATAATTTGATTAATAAACGGCACGCGCCGGTGTTTATCCTATCACGTGTCACTGATTAAACATTTACATGTATGACATTAAACCAGCCCACGGGAGATGTATGATGATAATTTATTAAAGTCATTTTCATTTTTTTGTGGTCAAACTATCTATGAAAGTGATTAAATGTGTATCAAAAATAAATCCTTATTATTTAATTATTTTTATTGGATACAGTTGATAACCGCAGATTCTAATTTTCACAGTTACGAATTTTAATTGTTTTAGTAGCGTGTCATATACATTTTTTGTAAATATCTGACAGACCAAGTCAATAGATATATCTTCAACTATATCATTTACCTAAAAGTACTGATTTTTATTTTATTTTGATAAATATGGGGCGGGGGTCAGCTTCCGCAATTATTACGCAATTCCGTAAACTTTTACACACAATTCAATATTTCATTTAGTATAAACGTTCATTGCCAATGTAACATTATTATGTCTTACAAAACAATAAAGTTTACAAATTTTTAGTTATTATTGATACGACTTTCGTATGAATTATATGTAAATGGAAAAATGAAACATTACTCACCAGTGTTGCAGGTTCTGTGCAAATATCACATGTAACGGCATGTTGTAAAGGACGAACAGTCTCCTTGCACGTGATACACAAAACGGACATTATCATTTAATAAATAATCATTTAATAAATTAGCATTTAATAAATTAATATGATTATGACAAATATATACACAAAAAAGGTCTGTAATAATATTCCTTCAATTCAGGCAATATTAATAGGAAACACGCTTAATGTTAATAAAACTGAAATGTTGTAGAAAATACTCGTTTTTATGTATATCTTCACAAATTTGAGTAAATGATATTATTAAAAAATGTGTGTAAATAATTAGCAAAGGCTTTCTATAACATCAAAGATCATTTGTAACTTGCGATATTATATATCTAATAAAGAATTGTTACTTAATGCGCTAATGACGAAATTATAAATTAGCACCATAACATTAAACCACGGGACTTTAATCTGATTTTAGCCCGTAATTAAACAAATGAAAACTGTGATTTGTTTATTAATCACCAAAATTAGATTTTAAAAAATGTAAATTTTGCAACTGATATTTCAGAAAAACAAATAAATTTAAACAAAAATCTTAAAGATTTTATATAAGTCCTACAATATTTTCAAAATATATTTACTGTTCTTTTAAAGTCCAGCATTTAAAACAGGGGTCGAAATGTCTTAGTCAGTAGGGGTCGAAAAGTCATCTTACAAGGGGTCTAAGAGTCAAGGGGTCTAGATGTCATCTTAATATCCTAAGGGGTCGAGAAGTCAAGGGGTCTAGATGTCTTACTTGCTGATATGGCACTTAGACCAACTATCCTCAAAATCAATTGGGGTCAGCTACTGGTCATGACCAACTACCACACTTAATCTTAGGACAGAAGGCCATAGCATTTTTTAGTTATTGGTCGAACAAGCTTTTAGTGGTCAAAGCCATGGTGAACATTCTTCTCTTGTTTTTTGTTGTTTTTATGCCCCCATTTCGAAGAAAAGGGGGTATATTGCTTTGCACTTGTCGGTCCGTCGGTCCGTCGGTCCGTAGACCAAATGGTTTCCGAGTGATAACTAAAGAACCCTTAGGCCTAGGAACTTCAAACTTGGTATGGTGATTGGTCATGACCAGTAGATGAACCCTATTGATTTTGGGGTAAAGGGGTCAAAGGTCAAGGTCACATTGACCTTGTAAGCAAAAACGGTTTCCAATCAATAACTAAAGAACCTTAAGGCCTAGGAACTTCAAACTTGGTATGGTGATTGGTCATGATCAGTAGATGACCCCTATTGATTTTGGGGTCAAGGGGTCAAAGGTCAAGGTCACATTGACCTTGTAAGGAAAAACGGTTTCCGATCAATAACTAAAGAACTTTAAGGCCTAGGAACTTCAAACTTGGTATGGTGATTGGTCATGATCAGTAGATGACCCCTATTAATTTTGGAGTCAAGGTGTCAAAGGTCAAGGTCACATTGACCTTGTAAGCAAAAACGGTTTCCAATCAATAACTAAAGAACTTTAAGGCCTAGGAACTTCAAAGTTGGTATGGTGATTGGTCATGATCAGTAGATAACCCCTATTGATTTTGGAGTCAAGGGGTCAAAGGGCAAGGTCACATTGACCTTGTAGGTAAAAATGCTTTCCAATCAATAACTTAAGAACCCTTAGGCCTAGGAACTTCAAACTTGGTATGGTGATTGGTCATGACCAGCAGATGACCTATTGATTTTTGGGTCAAGGAGTCAAAGGTCAAGGTCACATGGACCTTGTAGGTAAAAACGGTTTCCGATCAATTAACTAAAAAGGCTTAGGCCTAGGAACTTCAAACTTTGTATGATGATTGGTCGTGACCAGCAGATGACCCCTATTGAGTTTTGGGTCAAGGGGTCAAAGGTCAAGGTCACATTGACCTTGTAAGTAAAAACGGTTTCTGATCAATAATTTAAGAACGCTTAGGCCTAGGAACTTCAAACTTGGTATGGTGATTTGTCATGACCAGCAGATTACCCCTATTGATTTTGGGATCAAGGGGTCAAATGTCAAGGTCACATTGACATTGTAAGTAAAAACGGTTTCTGATCAATAACTAAAGAACGCTTCGGCCTAGGAACTTCAATCTTGGCATGGTGATTGGTCATGAGCAGCAGATGACCCCTATTGATTTTTGGGTCAAGGTCACATTGACCTTGTATGTTAAAACGGTTTCCGATCAATAACTAAAGAACCCTTAGGCCTAGGAACTTCAAACTTGGTATGGTGATTGGTCATGACCAGCAGATGACCTTTTGATTTTGGGGTCAAGGGGTCAAAGGTCAAGGTCACATTGACCTTGTAGGTAAAAACGGTTTCTGATCAATTAACTAAAAACGCTTAGGCCTAGGAACTTCAAACTTTGTATGATGATTGGTCGTGACCAGCAGATGACCCCTATTGAGTTTTGGGTCAAGGGGTCAAAGGTTAAGGTCATGACCAGTAGATACTTGATAACCCTTATTAATTGTTTGATCACTGGGTCAGAAGTCATGCATAATAACCTTATCACATGACTAATTGGCTGCTGATAGGGGGCATACATGTTTTACAAACATATCTTGTTTTTTAAAAGATTTTGCTCATATGGACACGTGCAGCTTTAAAGCATATTTTTATCTTAAGTCACATAAACAATGTTAAGGTAATATGGCAACTTTCCAGCTTCACAGATAAATGAAAATTCCCTTTAAGACACAAGCAGGCACCTGGGTAGAACAACTGACCTTCCATAATCTAGCTAGATAGCTTCCCCTCATGAAACAATTCAATGTTCCTAAGCAAGACTCGAACCGATAGCAGTGTGGCACAACTTGTTTGAAGTTTGAAACTATAACCACTCAGCCCTATTTTAAAGCATAAGTCTTAATTTTGAAGAATATGATATTTAAATTAAGTACTAGAAGCATCACCTACCTGGTATCATTTTTAACTTTGTGTTTATTTCTTGCCAGTTCCCAGGTTTATCAAATACCCAGTCCAATATAAAGTTTCCGTTATCTGTCACAACTGGCCCCTGTAAATATTATGTAATTGTGAAACTAACCTACTAAATTTCTTAAATGGAGCCGAATGAGGTACGGTCCAAAAGCCTACATAAAAATATAAAATTTAACTTTCATATATACATGTAGATCACCTGGGGTATTTAAACCACAAAGATATGCAATTAAAAAATAAACTAAAATTTAAAATCAAATGGTTATGCTTTTCCTAACCTGATTTGTTCAATTTAGGCTCATTTTTTACAATGAGAATAATTCATCTAGAACCATGGCTGTCGGTAGGACAGCTTGCTCAACTATTCTTAGTGCCTGATATATCTTGTAAAACAAGAGCTTGGATAATGAAGAATTTTCCAAAAAGGGCCATAATTCTTCCAAATCCATGTTACGGTTTAGACCTGTTCACTAATTAGGGGAGATAGTGTTTAAGTGACCATATAGCTCAGTCGGTAGAGACATATAATGGTATTCAGGGGGTCCTGGGTTTGAGTCCTTGTCAAGCTGCACATTTTCTCACCATTTGACACTACTGGTTATCTGTAACTCTGAGAAATCTGAGTATGGGGAGATATTGTTTAAGTGAGTAAGTGACTGGAAAGCTCAGTCAGTAGAGCCACAGAACGGTATTCGAGAGTCTCAGGTTCGAGTCCTGGTCAGGCTGCACATTTTTTCTTACCCTAATTAGAAAACAGTTCTAGTAATTATCAATTTTCTCCCCAAGTGACAGACTATTTATTTGACATAAATTCTGAATCAGAGGTGAGAAACAAATGACCATTAGACTCAATGTACAAGACTTATTGTCACGGAGAAAATACCTCTCTCCAAAGCTTTCATTTCATATGTATATATCATGAATAAATTTGTGTCAACCCCATGGTCAAAATAACTGGCATAATTAAGCTGAAAACATTCTCCTTTGAATATTCCATTTATCTGTATAACAACATAATAATCCAGCTTCAAAACCAAAAATATTTTCAAATATTAGTTCAAATATACCATTTTACTTTTGCCCATTCTAAGCTGAGCTGATCCACCAAGTAGCTCCACAATCTGAAGCTGTATAGGTCTGTATGCAATGTCTATCACCTCTAATGGAATGCCTTGTTTCCATGTTGTTCCCAAAGTTTCCACATTTTTTCTGATAAATTATAATTATATTGTGTATAAATGTATGTTGTGGTTTTGTTGTTGTTGGGTATCAAGTGGCATCAACACAGTATAGATCAACTGGTGACTTTCAAGCTTTTACTGGTGGAGGAATACCTCAGGTATTCTTCCATGCATCATTTCAGGCACAAACAGACACCTGAGAAGAACCACAGACGTTCTGTAAGCTAGCTGAATAGCTTCCTCAGTAGTGAGGGGCAAGTGGTTTGAAGCCAACAATGTCAACCATTCAGCCATGGTGGTATTTCAGCCATGGTGGTATAAATATATGTCAGTTTTAAAAATCCTTGCAGAATAAATGCAAATATTTTATGTCAAATTTGTTTAAGTTTTAAGTCAGACTGCCACTATTTATATGGCTACATTCCCATTTAACTAGTAGACCAGTGTCACCTCTCAGGCTTTCAGGTGTCCCTTGATGCATTGTTACAGTCATGAGCTTTTACCGGAATAGAACAACTGTCCTTCCATCAACACTGTTATTTAATGTCTTTTGATAATTTTGCATTATATTCTCTTTTAAACTTTCTATAAATTCTACTAGTATGCTAGAACTATTTACTTTTTTTTCCTGTATTACTGTTTTACACTGTATGATTCATCATTCATAATTTAAATTATGTTTTGCAAATCTATAAATTAACCCTAAAATGTCAAAACAATCACATTAAATGTTATCATATATTCTTAATCACTCTGCTATTTTCAACAGGAGGGAGAAGTAACAAGTTACTTCCATACTTTATAAAGAACTGATCAAGCTTGATTGTGGAGGAAGCTATAAGGTTATAGACACACCATCAAAATCTGTTCCTGGAACCAGAACTAAGCAAATTAGTGTAAAAATTCTAGCTAATTCAAAACAAAACTACACCTTGGCCCTTGACGGTGGCTGAGCCCACACAGCAGTATTTATATTACTAGCCCTCAGGGTTAACCTCTCAACCAAGCCGCCTATTATTTAATTTCTTCATATATTTTCTCTAAGACAGTTCCTTATCTACTCCTTTTGAATCATCTTCACTGATCACTATTTACTTACCTGATTCAGAATCAGTACTTACTTACAAATTGTATTTCAACGTTCAAAGTGTGTAAATATCCACAAACCTTGAATCAGCAATTATGATCAAGGATTTGGCACAGTTAGCTACAATTTTCTCCTGAGTTAGACATCCACCTCCGCCCTTTATACACACCAAGTTGGCATCCACTTCATCTGCTCCATCAATAGCTACATCTAACTGTATAATATATATAAGATATATGAGCCGCGTCATGACAAAACCAACATAGTGCATTTGCGACCACCATGGATCCAGACCAGCCTGCGTATCCGTGCAGGATCCATGCTGTTTGCTATCAGTTTCTCTACTTGTAATAGGGTTGGTAAGTGAACAGCATGGATCCTGATCAGACTGTGCGGATGCGCAGGCTGGTCTGGATTCATGCTGGTCGCAAAGGCACTATGTTAGTTTTGTCGTGACGCGGCTCAATTATATCTTTTTCGAAACCACTCTAGACATAAAACGTTGACAAACAAGTAAGGAAAACTTTGAAATTGAAAAAAATGAACCCTAAAGACCCTTTACCTGCCAAATTGAAAATGTTGCAGTCCCCTCTTGATTAAGCATGTTCAGCTCAGTTGGTACAGCTGCAGAACAGTATTCCAAGAGTCCAAGTATACAGTTCCAGTCAGGCTGTGACATTTGACGCCATGGGGGACTGTGATTGCATACAACTCAAGAGTTAAATTCAAAATGCCATGTAACCCTGAGAAATTCGAGGACAAATTTCAAAACAGCAGGGGAATAGGTCATAATTTAGAACTGTTAACTATTTAGGGGAGATGTTTTACCGTAAAGCTTGACAACAAGGGGTATTCTGAAGGTTCGAGTCCTAATCAGGCTGCACATTTTTCTCATTCCTTGACAGTTATCTTTTGATTGTTTATAGCTAAAATTTATGCATTCAGCTACATTTATGAATAATGTTTGTTATAATGTTCCAGATGTTAAAATTAGTGGTACAGGGACAAAAGTAATATTGACATGTGTTGGCATAAAATATTATCTATGACAAAAATATTAAAAAGTCTTTTGTACACTATTTTCTATATGGCATGATTTTTTTAAAATAAATGTAACTGGTATTGTTATCTACTTACACCCACAACCCACCCCTACCCTGCCCCCATCGCCACCCCATAATATTCAGAATACTTTACCTTAGGGTATTGCTCTAAAGTGCCAAGAACCAATCCATTATCAACAATCAACTGTTTGGCCTGAAATTGAACACAAACGACTATCTTACAATATAAAATCATGTTTTGTGATAATCATAAAAGTAATAAATTTTGTAAAATTAGCATGACCGAAATAAAAAATATAATGATTAAGTGATAAATGTAATCTTTAATACATAAATTGATAATAAATCATTATTATTAAATGGCTTTATAATACATTGCTTCATACCTTCCCAAATGAAAACACTTTATATTAAAAAAATATTTTTATTGGGTTTTCCGTCACATCTTTAAATTAAAATTTGGTACACATGTATGGCAAGCATCTATGTAGAACCACCAAACTTCCATAAACTAGCAGGATAGTTTTTTCACATGTAGAAATATTAAGTCTCTGGTAGGCTAGTTCGTATTCAAACCAATAGTCTTTATGGGAAGCGGTAAACCTTTGGAAATCAAGCCTTGATCATAGAGGCCGAGTAAAAAGGCATATCTACTGCTGTTATTGTTGCGTATAAAAAGTTACTAACTAAATATTCTAAAAAAAAAAAGTTTAAATAATGTCTTCAATAAAATTTCAGAATTTATAAACATGATGTTGTAATAATTCTCTTCTATTACTCCTTGCATATTTTCATAAACTGTCAAATTAATCAACAAACAATCAGCTTGACTAAGTGGCTCCATAAACAAATAATTAACCAAAGTTGGCCTCAATAAATAAAATAAATATAACAAAATTTAAGTTTAAACTTGAGATACTGACCTGGAAAGAGGTAGGTATACAAATAAGCTTCAGATTTTCTCCTTTTTTGCTCTCCTGTGCTGCAAATAAAATTGATTATATAATACAATACATATTGTATTTACATTGTAAACTTATCACTTTGTTAATCAAAATTTGTCCAACATTTTTTTTTTTTTTTTTTTTTTTTTTTCTTAAGATAAAAAAACTTTTTTTTTCCAGACTTCAAATACTGCATATCTAGTTTAAACGTGGGAATGTGTGGCTACTTTGCCATTTAGGAAACGTTTTTAAAAACATGTCAATCTTTTTTTTCGTCTTCAAACCTGTTGACACGATAGTAATCACATTTTCATGTCTATTTCGTCACATTATCATATTTTGCAACTTATGATAATTATTCATATTTTTGTCAAATTGTTCGTATTTTGTCAAATTAAACGTTACATGTATTTTTTTAAAAATTATTTTTTTTAATTTTGTCACATTATCTTTTTTTTTGTAAAATTTTTTTGGGCGAGCAATATTTTGTTGTAGATTTTCAGCCCAAAATGTCTTCCCAAAGGGTTTATGTACCCCCCCAGTGGCGGCATGCCCCTAAAGGGGAATTAACGCTTTTCGGCCCAAAAGTTTTTCTAAGGTTTTCCCTTAAATTTTGGGGTTGGGGAAAAAACCCCCTGTCGGGGGGGAAAAGCCGTTTTTTCCTTTGGGAGAAGAAACTTTAAAATTCTTTTGGCTTTAGTTACGGGTTGGTTTTCCAGGAAGGGTTTTGGGAGATTTATTTCCAAATTTAAGGGTTTTAAAAGGTTTCCAAACAAAAAGGGGGAACTAAAATTTAAAATTTGATTTTCCCCAAATTTGTTTTGAAAAAACGGGGCCCAAATTTTTTTTTTCCCAATTTCCAGAGGAAAGACCTCAGTTGCCTATATTGCCATTATTTTAAGCACTAGACATGAACTATATTACTCCAGATGACCATGTGTATATTATATCTGGTACTGACTTTAAACATAACATTTAGTGCCTCCTGAACCACCTGTATAAATCATTTGTCAGAAGGAACTTTTATCTGTCAAAACTGGAAAATAGCAGCAAAAACATAAAATCCTAAAATGGGCTGTACCAATGTCCATCTCATCAAAATCAGATAACTGTTTCAGCCCTATTTCTCTATCATGGCTATTTTTTGACCTAGCGAAAGATAGTTGAGCATCAGTTAGGTTATGATTTTAATGAGATTGCATAATGGTCAAATTAACAAGACTTAATGAATATGCGACTTACAAAGAAATTAAGATGTTTTACCTATTCTTTCTACAGCACTAACCACAGTGGTTCCACTCCCTATTCCTATCACCTGATTGTCCTGTTAACACATAGAAAACATAAATGAGCCGTGTCACGACAAAACCAACATAGTGGGTTTGTGACCAGCATGGATCCAGACCAGCCTGCGTGCAGTCTATCAGGATCTATGCTGTTCGCTATCATTGTCTCTACTTGTCATAATGTTGGTAAGCCAACAGCATGTATCCTTATTAGACTGCTCGGATGCGCAGTCTGGTCTGGATCGATGCTGTTGGCAAACCCATTATGTTGATTTTGTCGTGATGCGGCTCAAATGTTAACTAAATATATACCAATAAATGCTCTGTTAAAGCTTGAGAGAAGAATATTATAAACTAAGAAAAAGAGAACTGTCAGTTGCAGATCCAAGATTATTATCCCAATTAAAGAGGGTCACAAAATTTCAACTTCTTGTGTGTTGTGCATATTCCTAAAATGGTTGGTATATCTCAAGTGGGGGTGTTCATCAGTGCAATTTTTCCTTCATTTTTCAGTTAATACCTTGATGTTATATTATATTTTATGTACTCATATAATTTTGAAAAGTGCTGTATGGCTAGACAATACAGTGTGTCCTGGCTAGCTGTACATGACTCACGCACAGCTAACAACTTCCTATACAATAGCCCAATCTTGTATTTTACCTCCCTAAAGCAGGAGACCCTTAACAATTAATATTTTATTGTAATTTGCTATTTTTGCACAACATGTGTATAATGTTATTGAAAAAACAAAATTCCCTATTTTTCAAAACAATGTGAAATTCCCATTCCAGAGGTGTTTTTTGCCCCAGACAATTAATCCAGGGTATGTAATATAAAAAGATGAGGCAAGAATAATCCTAATTAACTGAATAATTGGTACATGTATCAATAATAGAACTGTTGTAATATGTACAGTACACTTAAAATTCACACCTCTAATGTTAATTTATATACGCTCCTTTAAGAAATTATTCTTAATATAGGTTATTAGAAATATAATAGATAAAATTTCAAAGAAATATCAAACACAAAACTAATAGCATTTCACAGTTTAAAATGAAAGTAGAATATTTACCAATATATGGTTGTTGACAGCCTCTATGGCTGCAGCTTTCTTACCAGCTTGGATACCCTCCATTAACGAATAGTTAATTCTTCCTAAAGAAAAATACTTTGTGGTAAACTGGAATGTTTGTTTGATGAAATTTGATATTAACTTAGTTTGACATTTCACATTTCGCATGCTTTCAATTTCCGTGTCTACTAATTGTCAAACTCCGGTCTCCGGTAAAACACGGTACGCCGGTATCCAAAAGACGGCACTTGTTTTTCGAGATAAAAAAGGTTTGTTTTTTTTATCCCGAAACCAAGTGCCAATATTATCGTAAACCAGTGAAAATGAATAAAACACGTTATGATAATTATTTCAGCGGATAAATGAAAAAAAAATACAATAGCCTGGTATTTTAGGGTGAACAGTTAAATCTGGGATGTATGGTAATCAGCTAACAGGTGAACGTCGAGTGGCCATGACTTACACTATACCCCCGTTCCCCATCTACAGCCCAAAACTCTTAAACATCATCCAAATATCATAAGTATTGACACAAATAAATTTGATGAAATAAAAATTTCATGACTAAAAATCAGAAAATCCAAAATACACTATTTAAACCACATCCGCAAAAAGTATAAGTATTTATAAGTTAGTTTTATAATTAAAGTTTCCAAGTGCGGTTATATGTCACTGTTATACGCCAGTAACATGCTTATTTCTTTTTATCATAAAACATTTATAATAAATGTATATCAAAGTTGAGTGTCATATAGAAATACCATATGGCCTGGTTTTCTGGTGTTCCCTCGTATAACGTTATATTGTTTTATGCTTTATGTGTCTTATATGTTTTTATCTTGTCTGTATTCGTTTTTGCTGTTAAGTTCCTGTTAACATTATCGTTGTGAAAGTGTTGAAATGTTCTGTTGATGTCGGCGGTCAGATTTTTCTGTTTATTTTTCTTTTTTACAATGTATATTGTGCTTTGTTGTCTTATGTTTTTACTTTTCTGTATTGTAGTTCCAATAAGTTGTCTTGTTTTGTGTCCTGTCTAGTTTACTAATGAAGCAATATTCTTGGCTTCATATTGGGCTAAGTTTCTTTCACGGTAATGTCCCGTTTTCCTATCATTTCCATTATGTCCGTCATGTGTCTTGTTGTCTTTTTCAGTTTTATTCGGTTTGTTTTCTCATTTGTTTTTTCTTGATAGATTTTAGTTCCGGTGTTTACTATTTACTATTTTGTGTTGGGACTACAACGGTTGTAGAGTCTTTGTTCCGTTTAGTATTTTGCCCTCCGTTTTTGTTACAAATATTCCGTTGTTCCTTTGTTAAGCATACCCGTTACAGTTGTCTGCTTTTTACTATTGTACTCTTGTCTGGATTTCCTGTAACTGCCCTTATTCTTGTTCCATTCAGTGTCTTTTGTCTGTTTTGTTTCGTGTCTTCACTTCTGTCCGTATCGTGTCTTGTCTTTTGACAGTATCGTGTCTTCTGTCAGTTTCGTCCTCTGTCCAAATCGTGTCTTGACTTCTGACAGTATCGTGTCTACTGTCAGTTTCGTCCTCTGTCCGTATCGTGTCTTGCCTGTCCGTATCGTGTCTTGCCTGTCCGTATCGTGTCTTGCCTTCTGTCTGTATCTCGTGTCTTGTCGTATCGTGTCTGTCAGTATCGTGTCTTATATGTCAGTATCATGTCGTCTAGTATCGTGTCTTGTCTGTCCGTATTGTGTCTTGTCTGTAACGTGTTTTGTCTGTCCGTATCGTCTCTTGTCGTATCGCGTCTTGTCTGTCCGTATTGTCTCTTGCCTTCTGTCCGTATCGTCTCTCGTCGTATCGTGTCTTGTCTGTCCGTATCGTGTCTTGCCTGTCCATATCCTGTCTTGCCTTCTGTCCGTAACTTGTGTCTTGTCGTATCGTGTCTGTCAGTATCGTGTCTTATCTGTCAGTATCATGTCGTCACATGTCGTCTGGTATCGTGTCTTGTCTTTGCGTATCGAGTCTTGTCTGTAACGTGTCTTGTTTGTCCGTATCGTCACTTGCCTTCTGTCCGTATCGTGTCTTGTCGTATCGTGTCTTGTCTATCCGTATCGTCTCTTGCCTTCTGTCCGTATCGTGTCTTGTCGTATAGTGTCTGGTCTGTCAGTATCATGTCTTTTGGTATCGTGTCTTGTCTGACCGTATCGTGTCTTGTCTTGTGCTAGTATCGTGTCTACTCTTCTGTCAGTATCGTGTCAAGTATCTTCTGTTCCATTCAATGTCTTTATTGTCTTCCGTTATGTCTGTTTTCCTTTTTTCCGTTAGGTCAATCTTTTTCACCGTCTAGCTGGTTTCTGTTTGCATTTTCTGCTCGTTTAGTCCCTAGAGTCTATGTCCTGGTTTTGTCAGTCTCGTTATAATTTCATTCTTTAAGTGGAGTAGCGGGGGATCGAACTCACGACCCCTTGATTGGTAGACAGACAGTGTTACCACTGCATCATAGCGCCCGCTCTGAATAATAACTGTTTTTGAAAGCCCTATATACATTATTATTTCAATGGCTTAACACAGAATGTATTACAATTAAATTTTAACACCTCTACGTAAGAAGCCAATCCACGCGACTTTTTATATGTCGTCAAAAATATTACTCGATTTATACAATATTCTTATAGATAACTTTGCTGTTACTTTAAGATACCATGGAAATTTAGTGGAAGGTACCCGGCATTGTAAGAAACATGTATCTCAGAAGGTGTAATAATCTTCTTGTAGAATTTTCCTAAAACCGAGACTGAATTCCGAAATTTCCAAGATCTACTGTGGTTTCGCAAGCACACGTACCAATCTCCCGATTTCAGACATTTGATAAAGTAAAACAGTTCCATGAGAAACTTGTCGTTGATGATAAAAGAAAATGATTTGATCGTTAACACTGCAGCATAGATAAAAGCACTGAAAGCACTGAATAGAACGGCAAAAAAGTAGCTGCAAAATGTAGCATTTGCCTGCACTAAAACAGATTTTAAACTGGATTTTGTCATTCATGAAATGTGCATAAAACTTTGTAATAGATTGTACTTGGTCTTCAGAAGTGTAGCACATTCAAAGTAAATATTCTTATTGTTGTCATTTTATTTTTTGTTTATAATAGTCATTAAAACATAGACCTAGAAATTTACTTTCAAATGGTTCATCATTTTACATTGTGAGCTTTGTTGTTATATGAATGTTGGCGTACTTTCACTTTGGACACATAAAGGGAAAACAAACATGGCTGACAAAGCAAAAATCACCTTAGAGAGGCAATCAGCTTAAGAGAGTGATGAGTATTTTGGAGGGGAATTCCGCCAAAAGTATATGTACATGTATCTTGATAACATGTTAATATCTGAATGTTACAATCCACGTGTGTTGATTGCATTCTTATATGTACATATTAGATTTGGCCATCTTATATATATCTATATATCGATTACATACAAGAATGCTAAATTTCAAATGTATGTACGCCACTGAAGATTGGTAATGCAGAAATTGTATCATTGCTTTTGCTTTAGGTCTTGTGCAAAATGAAAATAATTTAATATTATTTATGTTTAGAAGTAAATGTTCAATTCATGCTTTATAGTAGCGTTAAATTATTAGTCGTTTATGTCTTTATGGTATACACAAAGTAAAAACGTCATGACAAAACCAACATAATGGGCTGCGACCAGCATGGATCCAGACCAGCCTGCGCATCCGCGCAGTCTGATCAAGATCCATGCTGTTCGTTATCAGTTTCTTTACATGTTAAAGGGTCTGAAAGCGAACAACATGCATGGATCCTGATCAGACTGCGCGGATGCGCAGGCTGGTCTGGATCCATGCTGGTCGGCAACCCATTATGTTGGTTTTGTCATGACGCAGGTCAATTATATTTTGCGTATGATTACAACCCATGCTTACGGTTGTTGTTAACTAAATCTTAAAACGTTTCCTGTCCTTTCAGACAACAGAGACATGTGCAAAAATATTACATGTATATGCTGAAAAATGGTTAATATATTTAAATCAGCTTAAACATTTCATGTATTCTTGCTTGGTCCATTTGTTAATTTAATTGACGAACGATAACTCTAACTTTATTCATTAATAACAACGGATCCCAAAAGAATGCTATTCTAAAAAGAGATGGGTGAAATCCGGAGACCATCCGGGAACGTATTACAATGTACATTGTACATATATAGAGAAAGTAACTAATTATATTTATGTTGTTGGCGGGTTTGGCGTAATTAAAGGCCGACACACAACGTTTATTTAGATCATGCCGGTATATTCATTTAAACTCAAGATTGATACAAACTTAAAATGCGGTATCACACACTTTAGCTTAAGTTTATTTGATACTAAATGACCTTGAACATCAAACGCGTGTCCTATCAATGACAATCGATAGAAGATTTGGTCGAGTTCTAAACATAGTTACCAGTTATAAATAGTCAGTGCGTGTATCATGGCTAATTGATTTGCCATTTGTGGGACATGAGGGACGGCCTTGTTGAATTTTCATACAAACTTGTCTTGGTCAGTTATATTAGCGTTTCATTTAATTATGTGTATTTTTTAAAAAAAAAAAAAAAACTTTTTAAGCAAAAGCAATAAATGTTTAAAATTTATATTTTTATATCAAATTCACAAGCTAATTTTGATACGATGAAGCCCTTGTTTGCTAAGTTGCATTATTTTGCTTTATTTTATTTTATTTTCATACGCAAACCTTCTGTTCGTTTGTCATATATTTTTAATCATTGTAATTCATTATAACTTAAGTGGGACAAATCAAGATAATGTTGGCAACCATATTTGTCACAGTTATTCCCCTTTTAATGTTTATATACTGTTTGCCTTCATTTCCATGATAACTTTCAATTACAAGTTTGCTTCTTTAAAAAGAAGCATGCCAGAGGTCTTTTGTACGGAATGCCGTTAGGGCCATCGCCTATGAATGTGTTGATCTAAAACGCGATAGTCGATAGTACGATGGTGAAAACGCGAAATCACGAAACTACGATGGTGAAAACGCGAAAGCACGATGATGAAAACGCGATAGTACGATGATGAAAACGCGACAGTACGATACTAATCATCGTACTTTCGCGTTTTCATCATCGTGCTTTCGCGTTTTCACCATCGTAGTTTCGTGATTTCGCGTTTTCACCATCGTACTATCGACTATCGCGTTTCAGATCAACACATTCATAG